CATCAGTGCAGCACCTTTTGATGGGGGTGTTACTTTTGGTGCTGCTTGAAATCCATCACCTTGGGGCTTTTTTCCCTTCCTGCAGGGAAAATTTTGCTGACGTGATCCGGGAGAATTTGAATTACCTCGAGCTCTTCAGCAGCATTCTGCAGGAGGTGAGGCAGGAGCAGAACAGCATGATGGTAAGTGCTGGGGCATCTGCCAGGACTTGGCTCTCAGGGGACACCCAGGGGTGCCCTGGGCATGTGGAGAAATCCTTGAATAGGAAAAGGTACCAGGTTGCTCCAAGCCCCATCCAGCCTGGCTTTGGACACTTCCAGGGATTCAGGGAGAGCCACAGGTTCTCTGGCACCCTGTGCCAGTGTGCATGGATACATGTCTCTTCCCAAAATCCCACCTAGCCCTGCCCTCTGGCAGTGTGAAGCCATTCCCCCTTGTCCTGGCACTCCAGGCCCTTGGAAATAGTCTCTTCTTTCCTGTAGCCCCTTCAGGCACTGCAAGGCCACAGTGAGGTCACCCTGGAACTTCTCCAGGCTGAGCCATCCCAGCTCTCTCTTTGCTCAGAGGAGAGAGGAGGCACTCATCCTTTGGGAATCCCGAGATCTCCCAAACTAGAGTGGGCTCACAGGGCTCCTGTGCTGTGCTGCATTGTGCTGAGAGCATCCTTTCTCACGGCAGTCACTGATTTTTCGCCAAGCAAGACACACATCCAGTATCCAGACCCTGCGCTCAGTCGTGTTTTTGCTCCTCTTTGCAGAGTTTCGACTGGAGCTGGCTGAAGTAACCCCAGGAGCTGCGGTGCTGCATCACCCAAGTGCCTTCTGTGTGCTGAGGGCCGCCTTCCCTGCGGGACACGGCGGTGTTTTATGGCCATCGCCGGTGTTTTATGGCCATCCCTGGTGTTTTATGGCCATCACCAGTGTGTTACTGCTATCACCGTGTCACCCACCGGCTGTCCCCCAGGCAGCGGCCTGGGCCCGGCCCGTGGAGCCTCCTGAGGGCGGGGGGCGGTGTGACCCATGAATGTATAGTGCGTGTATATAGAATGAATAAACTCGGAGCTGACAGGCCGAGGCCTACTCGCCATCGCGCCGTTGCCTGGCAACTGGGGAGGGGGAGGGTGGGAGGGGGGGTCGGTGTCGTCATCACCCCGCGCCGGCCCGGCGCGCCCAGGGTGCCGCGCGCCGGCGCGCGTGCGCGGAGGGGCTGGGAGCGCGGCCTCGGCGGCACGTGGGGAACGGGGTGAAGGTACGGGATAACGGGG